TAGGGCCATGACTTTCCTCTGAATTATTACAATCATATTTAACGTATCCATCAAATATACAAACGGATACTTGTACGTGATTATTTAGATATTTAGAATAACTTGTATAATATTCCGAACGACGGTTACATATTAAATCGTATAGTTGCGTCTATTTGTATCACCACTTAACAGCCTTCTGCACTTAGATAAAGAAACGGTTGTATTTTCCACAAAGTCAAACCCTTTTCTCGCACGCAGCCCCTTTTTGAAATGAACATATTTTTGTATTATATAATTTAGTCTTAGTCAGGGGATCGAATAGAGAGGAAGTCCTAGTTAAGGGGCCGATCTGAGAAGTTGGTTTTACTTGGAGAGTCCAAGGAAGAGCACTTACTTCATAAATACTAACTTAAGAGGAGAATGTAACTCTTAGTTAATAATCCATGAGATCAGCTATTGTATAGTTGACTTCTCAATAAAAACTCCGATGTTAATTAAGAATATTGCATTTAATATTCATAAACCCCTCTAAGACTCCGCAACGACATAACTACGAGATAATCCACGGTGTCCAGGGATTCCTTAATCCCGGGACACGACATGACGATGAGAAATCCCGGATTTCGCGCCTTCTACATCATTTTTAAAACTTATGTACACATATTATCGATACAAGTAATATAAACAAATAGAGTCAGGCGTAATCCGTGTGTAAATGGGAAAACAGTACCTGATGTCTTGTAGTCATTCAAGTTGCATCTTAGTATTATTTATGTTCACACATATTTCCAAACCTGTTATTTGTGATTTTTTCATTTGCAAAATTTAATAACATTTGCATGTCTAAAAATAAAAAGCCAAAGAATAAATATGAAAAGCGAAATCATTAAAAAGAGTGTCGTGGCTGACCATTTTATTATCATCTATTGTATAATTAATAAGTATGTTTGTTAGATTCATCACTTTTCTCTTAATTATTACATATCATATTTCACGTATTCATCAAATATACAAACTGATACTTGTTCGTGCATGTAATTCATTTAGTTTAATTAATACCCCATTTAAATCTCCTGCCAAAAACTAGAGAATATAAATACATTCAAACATTTACAAATGTTATCAAACCGTAAATTGTTAAATGATAATTATCGATTATTCAAATACAATAATTCAGATTCTGATGATGAAATACATAACGATAGTTACCCAGTATATTTGACAACCTGATAAATATATGTGACATTTGTACCAACTTAATAGAAGTGGCTTTGCATGTGCATGTATTTTGTACTTTCTCTTCAATATTGTCAAAAAGTATTGTAAATTAAATGACACCCGTTCTGTATTAGAGAAATTAAATATGAATTTCGCTAATAGCAGTTTTCATAAAAGAAATAATAGAGTGATACGGGCGACCATAGAATGTGTTAATTATAACAGATTATGTTCAAACTTTGTTGACAGTTTAATCTAAAGCTGTCTAATAGTTATCATGAATTTCCGATGAGGGAACCAATTAATAGAAGATTACTAACTCCAAAAAATATATTTATAAGTCATGCTACGTTTGAATTGTTTATTTAATTCAATTTTGTTTTTTTTTTTTGGAAACCATTTCTGCTGAACAATCTTAAAAAAAAACAGTTAAATCAGTGGTTCTTAACCCCTTAAAATTTTAAAACATTTTCTTGGTACACTATTTTAAAATACTGATTTTATATAACTAACACTTCACTCAATAAGTAGGATGTAGGATGACTAATAAAACAACAACTTTTGGGCAATATTCGACTTTATTCATCAGCATAGTCTCCTTCAAGAGTGATACATTCATTCCAACGCTTCTCTAACATTTCGGTACTTTTCTTTGGCCTCAAAATACGGCTTTCACCTTTTGCTGTCTACTCAGCTTACGACCGATTTAACTCTTGAGTATAGTTGTGGATTCAGGTTTCATCCATTGATACATACCGCATGAAAAATCCTTTTTATTTCGTTTGAACAGCTCCAAATAGCGGTACGTTATACCCATTTTGAACAGATCTTTCTTGTGATCAAATGTTCATGCAAAATGGTGAATACACTGCCTTCTCTTATCTTCAGGGTGTCAACTATCTCACGCAACTTCAATTTACGATCGGCCAAAACCATTTTGTGGACTTTTTTTGTGTTTTCTGCAACAATTGCTGAATTTGGGCTACCAGAGCGTTCAGCATCATTTGTATTTGTATTACCACGTTTAAAATCAGCAAACCATTTCTCTATCATTTGTCTCGACTGAGATGAGTTCCGATAACATTTATCAAGACATTGCCTTGCTTGAACGTTATTTTTCCCATCAAAAAGCAATGTTTTATCAACACACGAAATTCAGATTTTCCATTGTTTTGAAAATTACAAAAGTATCGCCAGAAAAACCACTGTAACTTGTGAACTTAACGTCAGATTGTCATGAATTTTTGACAGTCGTCGTCTGAAGGTTGGTACATCCTAAAAATCATATGGATAAACGTGCTATCTATATGTCATCCTACGAACTTATTGAGTGACGTGTTACTAGATACAAACACCTGCGATGTCCGACTGGTTATGGAGTTTGTTACTAGGTACAATAATGAAAAATAAATCCGAAAATAAAATGTATAATATTTATTTTAAAATTACGATGTGCCAAATAAATTAGACTTCTGTTGTTGAATACACTTCAAGTCAATTACCTAGTTTTAATATTGACCATGAAAAATCCATTTTCGTACAGATATGTGGTACCAAAGGCAATAAAACAGGTGCGGATATTCCTTACGAATATATATTCAAAACTTTTTTTTGAAATGTTAGTTCAAACTTAAATTCTTTATCAATTCTGGCAGAGTGTCATCATGGGTTAGTGATAAATTTACTTTCTGCTACCATCTAATTTTTTTGGAAAATATTTGTCAACTTTTGCAATTAATTTTTGGTGATGACATTGAAATAAATATTATGTATGTTCTTTATCAAATTCCAATTATCTGCAATCATTTGAGAATAATTTGGAAACATTTCGTAAATGGATTCGAAAAAGTGGTATAGAAAGTTTTTCGAATCCATTTATGAAGTATTATATCTCGCATGGAAATCATGTTGTGTTGATTTCTTTGCTTAGATAAATTTAGTTGAATTAGAATGGAGAAGATGTCTGCCAAATATGAAAGTTTTGCAATACTTTTTTTGTCGTGGAAATTAATAGCCAAATTTGATTTTTTATCAATTAGGAATATTTCAAGGCAATTTGTCACACAGATGCGAAATACAAAAGACAAAATATTCTTTATCAGATGGTCAGTAATTAAAATATTTCTTGAAAAATAAACAAATTAATGTATATTTGCTATAGTGTAGAAATCGTAAACCAATAATTATAGAAATTATTTTGATTTGAAAAGATATCAAAACATAAAAAATCTAATCGTTTAAGAATAGCTAACTTAGATTTTATTTATTTATGAAATATATTTCCGGTAAACTAATCATGCAACATTGCTCGATCGTCCGTAGTTGATAACAAAAATATCGCGGGTTTTTTTATGCACGGAGGCATCTTATTATTGCATCCGTTTCCGGTCGGTTGCCGCAAAACCAAGCAAAATCTGTTTCGTGAAATTGGAGACAGATTGCGCCGCTGCTAAATGGTCCATGTTTGGATACACCAAACGGGAAACAAAACAAATACTAAAATGAGTTTTGCAAGGTTTTGCGTTTGCCGAGGATCGATTGTGGTGGACCCATTGTCCTTTTCGCAGGAGAGAAAATTGGGACAAGTCCTAATTAAATTGTCCCTCCATCAACCACAAACACACTTACACACTAGTATATCCCGTCGCCTCCGCCACAAATCACTATGACTTCCTTAAAACTTTATTTATGTCCAAGCGCGACGCCAGTTCTTTCTTCTTTTATTTCCATCGCATCGCCACTTCCCCCCATCCTTGATTCCCTTTAGGGCCTTTCCTTTATCCCCCTTCGACAGCCTATTTATCTGAACTCTTTATACATCCGAATGCTTGCGCTAATTAATTTTCCTTCGAGACTTCCTCTTCCACTCTCCACTCTCACCATCAATGCAACAACAACAACAATGCTATAAAAGCAGCGGCCTTTGATCGTAGCTTATTGAATTGAGCTTATTTGAATTTATTTATTTATTCACTGTTACAAAATTTTTAATTCCTTTCAAATTAAAGCAAGTAAACAACAAGTTAAACTTATTATTGTGAATATTTTCTTTTCATTTATTATCAACTTCCACTACATTCGTTTTTTTAAATTTGGTCTGAGATTTAAACTCTCCACCGTACATGTACAGCGGTACACTCCGTTGTCATCTTTTCCATCCTATTCCTTTCATTTTAAAATGTTAAAATGTTATCATTTATTTACATAAATATACTAGACAACACTCTTCCAAGAGTTATATACTTTTAAAAATAAACTCATTAATAAAAGGGTTAAATACTTGCTTTAACAGTTGTAACCATAAATATAATAATATAAAATGTTGAAGTTCGAACACATATATGCACAGCAAATTTTCAATGGATGAAAGAGTGTTTTATAGAATAATAAGCTTAATTGCATTTTCATCTGTGCTGTTATCGTATTTCAAAACTGTTAACTGATAAATACATGAGGGCAGAAATGAACAGTAAGCATTAATGCACTCTTTTGTATTCAAATACAAAAAAAGAACTTTGTTGTTGGACACAGTGTTGTTGAATCTGTATTTTACATGTTGTTTATGTGTTATTCGAATGTTCGTGAAGGCAAGAAAATATTTTTAATAGATTCATTCTCAAGTGAGAGCTTGTTGAGTTGCTGTTGTTGAATGGCAGCTTTTGCGCGTCGTCGGAATGTAATATAAGTTTCGTTTCGCGTTTCCAACGTTCTCGTTATTATCGAGTATATATATATATTTTTGTTGAGGTTTATTTGTGTGCAGTCGTGTGTTTTGAATGGATCGCTTTAAATTTTCGCAGTATTCTTGAGGAGCAACGGAGAGTACCAGGCCAAAAACAAGTTCAAGGACTTTTTATTGTTGGTGGAACATGAACCTTCCGAGAAGATCCTTGGTGAAGTACACAATCCTTCGGTGGGCACACTCCAATTGCTCGGTGATATGTTGATGAAGTTCAGCGAGAAATGCCGAAATGCCGTCATGCAGACAAACTCTCTTCCTAAATCTGAAGTGCAGGTAGAGTATATCATCAGCCGTTCATCCAATTTGCAAATTATTTCGAAAGTCCTCTTAAGGTGTTGTGGGTTGCGCCTCCTTCTGGAAGCGGTTGCGTAGCAATCCGTGCAACAGTCGTTGAATCCAAGGAGTTCTGGTACACCGACGATGGTCCGCTTTCGAAGATCTTATGCGAAGAAGTACAAGAGAACGAAGACACTCAGCCCAACATGCTGAGACAGTGCTGCGCTTGCGACGAAGCCAAATACGAGGTAGTTTAAAGGAGCACTTCAACCGTCTTCAACGGGGGCGAGTAATTCATTTTGGTTTGTTATTAAGGTGACGTTCGAAGGGTTGTGGTCGCGCAACACTCATCCCAAGGACTTCCCCTCAAACGGTTGGCTGACTCGATTCAGCGACATAATTGGAGCCTCACACACCTTCGACTATACATTTTGGAATTACGGCGAAATCGCGAGTAATGGTCTGCGGCAATTAGCTGAAAATGGCAACACCAGGATGCTGGAAAGCGAGCTCAAAGCGAAGGCAAGTTACAAACGTCGTTCACCTCAACCAAAGATCCCCCTTCCGTTCACTCACTCTTCCGCAATAATTGGATTCTTTTAATATTCCTTTGATTCTCCAACATCGCAGTTTATCGATTTCCATCCATCGACTAATTGCATCTCCTCCCATTTATTACCCTTTTAATGTAATACTAATAATATACATAATTTTTAACCATTTGAATAAATCAATAAATTTTACTTATTATAAAAATTGTAATACTTTACATTATTTTTGATAGAGTGAACATATTAGGACTATAATAAAAGCAAGAGGCATAAGCTATCCGAATATAACTGGAAAAACCTTCGCCGTTTTCCGCGTGGACAAGAGACACCATTTGATGTCGCTTGTATCGATGATAGATCCTTCGCCCGATTGGATTGTCGGTGTTTCCGGATTGGAGCTTTGTCTTAGGAATTGCTCCTGGGTGGAATCTCGAGTGCTAAACTTGTACCCGTGGGACGCTGGAACAGACGATGGTCCAACTTACATAGTAAGTCTTAAACAATATAATCAGATTTGAAAAAATATCGAACTTTGTTCATCAGTCTGCGAATCAACCGTCAATGCCACCGCATCCCATAAGAAGGATCAAATCGAACAGCCCCAACGACCCGCGTTCCCCGTTCTATGATCCCACCGGAACGGAGATGAAGCCTCTGGCCAGGCTCTACCTTTCCAGGCAAAGATTGTACGAGAAGAACTGCGTGGCGCAGGTGGATGTGAGCGAAGAGGATGGCGGTGTCGAAGGCGACAAGTGCGAAATGGAGGAGTGGTCCGAGTGGTCCAAATGCACGGTCACCTGCGGCAGAGGCTTCAAGTACAAGCAGAGGGCGTACAAGAATCCCGCGAGCAATTTTGTCTGCAATAAACCGCTGACGAAGAGGGCCTCGTGCGTGGCCATCCTGGAGCACTGCAGCAATCAGCAAAGGCCACAGGAGGCCGATCCCAGCTGCAGCCTCACCGGATGGGGCAACTGGTCTAGCTGTACCGCACCGTGCGGTCCCGGCTGGAAGACGCGCAGCAGGCGCTACAAGAACAGGAAGGCAGCAAAACGATGCGCGGCAGGAAACGAGAACCCCGAACCTCTGGAGCAGAACCTGGAGTGCATGGAGCGCGAATGCGGACCATCTGATAGAAGACCGCTTCAGGTAAAAGGCTTAAATTGTTAAGATATAGTTTTTGATCGTATGTAAATGCAGGAAAGCAAAGAGTGTGAGGGCAGGGCATGGAGTAATTGGTCTCCATGTTCCTCGACATGCGGCAAAGGTATAAAGGTGCGTCGAAGGATGGCCTACAGATCTCTTTGGGGCCGAAGCCCCGCCAGATACAACAGAGGCCTGTTCGACACCGAGGACACCTCCAGGGATGACGACGACGACGGCTCCGATGAGGATCCTTGCATGAACCTAGATGAAAAGGTCGAATGCATCAACGACGATGTCCCTGTCTGCGAGGATACCGTAGACAACTCAGGTAACTCCGTCTATTTCTCATCTTTTACACTTAATTACAACTAATCGCACTAACAAACAAATAAAAATAACTCCCCAACAATCAGCTGTCGTTTGCGGATTTCCGCGCGACGAAGGTGGATGCATGAGCAACGTCGATCGGTGGTATTTCGACGTGATTAAGGGCAACTGCGACATCTTTAGCTACAGCGGTTGCCAGGGCAACAAGAACAATTTCAAGACGCTGGAGCGGTGCGAGAACGTCTGCGACAGTTATAAGAGTAACCTTCCTCTCCGATCCTTTTAATTCTCATTAAATTGATTGCATTACGCATTTTGCACGCCGCAGAGGAATTGCTCGCAAATCGGACAGCCTACAAACGTCAGCTCGGCGTCACCGTTTCCGGTGTGCTCTCTTACAATCTGCACCACATGCAAAACGACGATGCCGACAACTGTGGTATACTTACTCATAAAGTCTTTCTTTTACTACTTAGTAAAATATACAAATATGAGTAATATTAGCGACGAATATGAATTTTATCTTTTATTTAAATGCTAAATAATGTATGAGCGTAGTTTTAGAGAAAGTCTATATTTTGTTCAGCTTCGATTAATTTTGTCGATTTTTTGTTTGCTTAGCATGTTTAATATGAGAATAATGAACATTCTAACATTTCTAACTTATCACAGACTAACGTAAACTGAGTTTGGTCTCGTGCAGAGACAAAGTAGTTGACAAATTTATTGACGGTTGTGGCTTTTCAGTAACCGAAAACTATTTTGGTCGAATAGTACCGGGAAGCCAGACGCGCCAGGATCAGGACAAGAAAATCATTCAGGAGCCGATCGGCGAAGTCGTCGACTGTCAGATGTCCGAATGGACCAACTGGAGCGGATGTAACGCCACCTGCGGCCGAGGATTTTCCACCAAGCACAGATTCATTCGAGTCCATCCTTCTAACGGCGGAAAACGATGTCCACAGAAGATCCTCAAGAAGCGCAAATGCAAAATACCATGCCCCGGCGACTACAGTAAGAAATCATCGAGCTCTTTTTTTACAAAAGTTTGTTTTTCTCAATAATACTATTGATCATATCTAGCAAAGAGAGATCCAATGCTGCCCACCTGGGGTACGGCCAATTCTCTCGAGCACGTGCAGATTGATTGCGTTATGACCGGATGGTCCGCCTGGTCGCCTTGCAGCAGATCCTGCGGCCCCAACGCCGTTCAACAGAGAACCAGAGGAATCCTCCTTCCGCCGAGCGGAAGAGGCGAACCGTGTCTTCACAGGACGGAGGAACGTCCATGCAGTCTACTTGCATGTCCCGAATAAAAAGAAAATGCACCACCTGGATACATCCGGTGTTTATAATACTTTTCAAGTGATAGAATTATTTTCGAACGTCACACATATCTCAATATTTATTCTTATTTTCTTTTACTTTACAACCTCTCTCCATAATCGGAGATACTTAATTTAAGAATGTACTGTATTTTATTATAATTTAACTCGAACATAATATACGAGAATACTAGATTAATTCATATTCGACGACAGTAGACGCTCTTAGCGAGCTGAAATATACGACAAATCTAGTCTTTGTTCAATATTCTATTAAATTTATTAACAAACGGTAAATCGAGTTTGAAAAGAATAATTAGAATAACCGTATAAATATAATACTCTTAATTAGAATTGAAAGATCCAAAGTCAGTACTTATTATTAAATTATTTAAATACAATGTTACCTCACCGCATAACGAGTGACGAGGAGAAGGGAAGTCCCGAATTGTGCGCCCACTACATCAATTTCTTGTTTCCTGTTCAGACATATTATTTGTGATTTTTTTTGCAAAGTTTACTTTTGCAAAATTTTCCCCGTAGAAAAAGCCACTAGAAGACTGCCATAAGAGAATTAAAAAGGTATGTAATCAGAGAAGAGAATTAATTAGGTATGTACCATAAATAATAAACTAATTACAGTGGAACCTGTATAATCCATTCCAAAATTTCCGGACTTTTACTCGTATAGTGAAACAAATTTCCATATAACTAGTGTAAAAAACGATAATGCGTTTCCATATCGGAAAATAAAGCTATATGAAATAAATATGATTTTTCCAAACTTAAACTAGCTTTTATTTTCATTTGTCTTGTTGTACTTACAGATTTTATTTATGCAATTTTCATTCGCGTAAAAAAATCCACGTAAATCGAAAAATCTCGTAAATTCATAATCTTGATAAATGTAAAATGATGCATTATTTGAATTGAGTCAGTAATTGAGCAAAACAAGTTGGAAGGTAAAAAAAAAGGCGATGTCATCTGGTTTTTCTTATAATTTATTACATATATGTATAAAAACAGATAGAATCAGCTGGTTCAATATGATTAATGTCCGATTAGGTTTTTTTTTCGTTGTCGTGATGATGATCAGACGGTGTCAGTTTCGCAAACGTCTTGTTTGAAAACGAACTCATTGCTGTACGTTTTCTGACTTGAGCAACTTCGCTTGCAGGTGTAGACCAGCAGAACCCCGAAATCGAGTTCGTTCTCTTTGAGGACGGTCAGCAACTGAGGCATAACTTGAAACTCGAACTGCCTCGGACCTCCGCACTGCTCGCAATCTGGTACAGAATCAGGTTTCGGTTCCGAAGCGATCCAAAGAGGTTCTCCACCTCTCTCGTATCTCAGGATTTGCTCCGGATTGCAGGCGACGCGTTTCCGGAAGTTCGCAAAAACTTTGTCCTTCTCACAGGTGGCGAGTTCCTCGAGTTCAGCCTCCTCCGATTCCGGAAGAGTTCCGGTTCTGCCTTCGCCGACCAATCTGTTGTAGAGCTGCAACTGTCCCTCCTCGTTGACGACGCTCTTCTTATACTCCTCGCTCTCGATCACGATCTCGTACTCGGTGAAGAGGATGCTTGACAGCTTCGACGGTTTCGAGGGGTTGCCGCACGCGTCCTTATGATGATCCTTCCAGTGAATGATCTGGTGCTCGCTGGAGCAGTACCAGGCTTTCTTGCATTTGCTGCACGTTTTCTCGGCGAAGCATCCGCACAGTTCGCAGAGTTTCGAGAATTGCGCTGCGTCAAAGTGGACGGGTTCCTCTTCCGGTGGCGGTTCGTGGCTGTAGAAAGGATTCTTCCAGGACAACTGGTTGCGGAACACCCGCACGGTGTCGCTACGGTTTCTCTGGCAACAAGTGGCACTGCGACATAAGAATATGAAGATGGTTCTGTGGAAGTTGGCCGGATCGTCCTCGTGCGGCGCGTACACCTGACACAAGAAGCACATCTGTTTCTCGCATTTCGGGCATTTTAGATCCTCGTAACTGGGAATATGCTCGTATGAGAGCCAGGCTGGCTTCCCGCCCACCTTACTCGGAAATTGGGCGCTCTGCACTCTCCATTTCTCGTGCACTTCCTCGCAGAAACCGACGTCCACCTGCGACGAAATCTCCTCGGACATTCTCTTTCTTCAAATTCGCTAACATCCGAAACGCACCTTCAACGCTCTAAACTCACGGGTTATGTTTACACATGCTTCAAGAAGTCAACAACCAGAAACGTCAAAACATCAGCAACCTAGCGCCCTCTGCAGCTGCAAGATTCTACTCCGCATAGACGATACGATGACAGTTGGTTTCTAAAATAATATTTTAGGAGACCCGGATCGGTAGTTATAGTAGTGTTTAGCATAGTAATTTTAGTTTTAGTTATATAGTTTTTAGTGAATTAGTATAGTTAAGAGGTCGTTAGGCTACCCCCAAGATGGGGGTAGACTCAGAAGGTGATCCGGCGATAGTCGTGTGTACAGAAGAAGGGATTACGTCTCTCTTAGACATTATTCACAAGATGAATGGTGTAATCGAAAAAAAAAAGATGTGTCTGTCATACAGAACATCAAATATAAAAAAGAACTTCAAACAGAACTAATAGCATTGGTGCAAGAAGGATCATATTTAGATTCAAACAATAAATCTATAGTGATATCGGACAAACTCAACGATCTTTTAATAAAAAATATTAAACAAAATCAAGATCCCCTTGTTCTCTATGAGATATTGCCCCTTTTGTGGTTCAACTCGAACCAGTGGTTCCTAATATATCACTGTGCCCTTTGCAAATGGGTAGGAAGATTGATAAATACAAAATTGCACAAATAATGCAAGTTCAAGTAAAGCGGGAAGAGAATCACCTGAACCTCGGAAACTAGCAATTATGCAAAGGTCCGAGGATGACATTAAATCGAACACGATTCATAAACTAATCGGTATCCTTCGGAAAGCTTTGGAGGTACCATCAGTATTCGATCAACCGGACTGCGCTTTAGCGGTCGACTCAATAATCACTTCAATAAATATGCTCCAATCTAGGAGCAATAACTACGACTTTAATACCGCCGAATCAGACACAAAGTCAAAGTTAATGGTTTTCAAGTTCAAAAATGGTTATTAATAATAATTTCAAAATCCTTAGTTGTAATATTAGAGCTTTTCGCTCCAATTCTCCTGATTTATTCCAACTAGCAAACAATGAACAAATAGATATCATGGATAAAACTAGGGATGGTAGTTCTGCATCCATCCCTATAAAGCGCATCATGATACCAGATATAATGGAAAGGGAGGCGTAGCACTCCCATACAAGAGCAACTTAGAGTGCAAAAAGTTAGAAATAAACTTTACCCATCTTCCAAATGCACAATTCCTTGCAGGAAAGATAGGACCTGTTACGCTCATCTCGGGATATGGTCCGCCGGGTGTTACTATGATGGAGAACCACTGGATAAATCTGTTTTCGCTAATAACAGGTCCTTTTATACTGATGGGAGACTTTAATGGACATCACTCTTTATGGGGTCACACAAAAAAAATACAATAACAGTAGAGAACTGGAAAGATACATTGCAAATAATAACCTGGTGGTGTTGAATGATGGCAATCCAACACATATTACCTACACCAAATCAACTATCTTAGATTTAATCGTTGCATCACCGGACATTACACTTAGTTGACAGTGTACCACTTTCTTAGACTGAGACTAAAAAGCGAGAAAATAAACTGGGAAACATATAATGATGTGGTGTTCACTCCAGCCCGCTTATATGACGTCACCTACAAGCTCGTTACGGTGCGCCCCAAGGTCTGATAATGGCTCTACTTGGTTAGGGTATATAAGCGGCAACATTTCTGCACCCGCTCTTTCCTTTTTACTTTCTTCTCTTATTTCCTATCTTCATTTCCGCTACTCTTGTGTCTTAATAATATGTAAGTTTCTCTGTATTATCTCGTAGTTATGTCGTTGCGGAGTCTTAGAGGGGTTTATGAATATTAAATGCAATATTCTTAACTAACTTTATTGTATACATCGGAGTTTTATTGAGAAGTCAACTAATCTATTATAAGTGTTTTTATTGAGAAAAATTCAACTATGATCTCAGGATTATTAACTAAGAGTTACATTCTCCTCTTAAGTTAGTTTTGAAGTAAGTGCTCTTCCTTGGACTCTCCAAGTAAGACCATGTTCTTCGTTGGACCCTCTTATAAGTAAGTGCTCTTCCTTGGACTCTCCAAGTAAGACCATGTTCTTCGTTGGACCCTCTTACTAAGACTTCTTCTTTCTTCGCTCCCCTAACTAAGACTAAATTATATAATACAAAAATGTGTTCATTTCAAAAAGGGGCTGCGTGGGAGGAAGGGTTTGACCTTGTGAAAAACAACCGTTTCTTTATCTAAGTTTTATGATCCTCCCAAATATTTAGGGGCGAAGAAGGCTGTTAAGTGGTGATAAATAGACGCAACTATACGATTTAATGTGTAACCGTCGTTCGGAATATTCCACAAGTTATTCTAAATAATCACGTACAAGTATCCGTTTGTATATTTGATGGATAATTAAATAGTGATTTGGAAATTCCACAAGTTATTCTAAATAATCACGTACAAGATCGTATATTTGATGGATACTAATATTATAAAAGAGTATTAAATATGATTTGTAATAATTAAGAGGAAAGTCATGGCCCTAACAAATATACATATTAGTTATACAATAGATGACAATAAATTGGTCGGCCACGACAGAGCCTCGGACTCATTATACTGTAAGAAACCTTTATATCCTTTGTATCACACTGTATTGTAACAAGCCATAATTTACTCTAATAAACATTATACTACGAGCATCTTCAAAATGATTTATTAGAAAACAGCTCAGTAAATGAACCAGAATATGATGACTTCCAAAATAGAATTTTAAATACGGCCAAGGAATGCCATAGACCGGCATCTTCAAGTTCGAGGCCACCATGTCCATGGTGGGATGATGAATGTGGCAGAGCAGTTGCCAAAAGGAAGCGTTTAATAGCTAAACAGCAAATGGAAATAACAAAAAGGCATTTAAAGAAAAAGAAACGAGATAGGTTCAAAGACTTTTGCGGCAGTTTAAGCAGGGAATCAAAGCACTCGGAGGTTTGGAGAAAGATCAGGGCATTCAAGGGGTGTATAGTCTGGGTGGAGTTTCATCTTTTAACTAGGAGTGGACTGAGGAGTTTCTGTGCAACCTGGCTCCACATTATGTTCAATCACATCAGAGTTTGATCCCTTCAGAGGGAATTGTCTCCTATTACCATCTGGTGGATAACATATCCCTTGAAGAATTGGAGGCAGTGCTTAGGAAAGCCAGAGACACGGCTTTGGGTGAGGATTACATCTCGTATCCAATGATCAAGGCACTTCCTCTTAGAGATAAGAACATTTTAATAAGTTTTTATAACAAACTTTTAAATGGTGTTGCCATCCCAAGTGTTTTGAGGGAAATAACGATTCGTCCTATTTTAAGGAGCATTAAACTCCCTATCGGCCAGTTACAGACCAATGAAGAAAACATTTGAGACGATAATAAAAAATCGAATGGAAAAATGGTGTGAAGAGTATGGTATTACGAGACTTTTTCACGGGCTCACGTAGAGGACGCGGTTCCCAGGATAATACAACCATTCTGGCGGATATATATAGTGCCTTTGCTCAA